CCTGTTTATTCCTCAAAACCACCAAAGGAGCTATATAATGTTTTTGAAGGTGAGGAAGCTGAACAATAGAGCAGGGTTACTTGGCCTAAGGCCACACAATAAGGAAGAATATATTTCCATACTCCATTTTTTCCAAGGACTTGGTCAGTAAGTTCTTTTGGATATGCAGCTATAGGTTTTGGGGGTTTTGTGTTTTACTAGTTTTTGTCTTTCAACAGAGTCCCTAGCCCAGAACCACATTATTTTTCCATTGTAAAAATAACAGTCACATTTGAAAATTTGGAAAAAAAGAAAAAGCACCTCATGATCATGCAAATACAACCTTACTCCCATTATTACTTTTATTAATATATAATTCCTTCTAGTCTCTTTTTCACTCTCTAAATGCATTTAATTGGAGAAGGAAATGGCAACCCACTCCAGTATCCCTGCCTGGAGAAACCCATGGACAGAGGAGCCTGGCAGGTTATGGTCCATGGGGTCGCAGAGTGGGACACGACTGAAGCGACTTAGCACATACGCACGCACGCAATCCACTTAATAGGCCAAAATAATTGAAAAGCCAAAGAACAGGTCGGGTAGTGAACATAACACGGAGGTAGTTGAAGGGGGGAAATAATCTCATATTCATGGTTAACAAAGGAGATGAATCCGTTTGCTAAAGTGAAAGACTCTCAGGCGACCCCATAGATCCATGAAATTCTTCAGGCCAGAATACTAGAGTGGGTAGCCTTTCCCTTCTCCGAGGACCTTCCCAACCCAGGGATCAAACCCAGGTCTCTCGCATTGCAGGCAGATTCTTTACCAGTTGCGCCACAAGGAAGGTCCATTACTATAAAACCCCAGAGCATCTTTAAGAAGGGAGCTAACTTTAAGGATTCAGACTGCTGATTCCCTTCCGGACCAGCTGCCGATTTGCTTCTGGGGACTGTAATCTAATCATAAGAGATTATGCCTCATGGAAATCTCTAGAGATCAGACAGCTCAGAATCCCGGTTACAGGCAGACTTCCTTTGCCGAAAAATGCCTGTGAGTTTATCTCCTCTCCCTGATCACATGAACAGCTTTGCTTCCCCAGGACTCTTGAGCTGAGGGCTCGCAGAGCCTGGAAGAGGGTGGATGCGATAGGCAACGAGGCAATTCCCCCGCACTCCTCTCCCTAGAGCGCAGTCGGGTCCTGCAGTTGTCGCCACCACACTGCGCCAGTGCTTGATGGAGATCCACACTCCTCTGTGCCCCCGACGCCGCAGGGAGCGCTGACCCCTGAAACTGACATTCCCGAAAGGGCGCGGAGAGCGCACGGAGAGAAAAGCCCTCGGCCCACGCGGACGCCAAGCACCTCCCAGCAGGCTGTGCGCGCGCCTACAACTCCCATCATGCTCCACAGGGGGGCTGAGCGGTTCCTGGCTAGGAGGCGGCCGTTCAACCCGTCACCCTTGCTCACATTTCTTTAATACGCCTCACTGTTCCTCAGGCATTTTGGGAAGCTCGTCAATCCCTTAACAGGAGCACGGAGGCAGAGGCGCTAAGACCTCTGAGGAGGCGTGGCTCCGGACCGGAAGGACCTCCGGTTGCCGGGGGAACGCCACGCACCGAGGCGCCTGCCCAGCCACTGATACTTGGGCTGAGGAAGAGACTACAACCCCTTTACCCAAGCTGTGGAGGCGGCTTTGCTCTGGTCCGGGCATCCTTTCTGTGGAGGCCTGGAGAGAAACGTACCCAGAGCGCCCGCACCACATTCCCATCCCCGAGACGGAGACGAGGGTTCATTCCTGTTCTTCAGCAGCTCCCGGGCCCACAAGAGTAACCGCAAAGAGCAGGTACCTCCTCAACCCCAATGTTTGTATCCAGAGCCGGCCGCAGTCCCCGCCGGCACCAGTTTTAGAATTGCTCTTCCTCAGGTTTTTCACTCCGTGTAGTTGTTTCTAATGTGTGAGGACTAGGGAAAAAGTGGGCTGGTGGCTCAGAAAACTCACTGAACTGCTTTGGGTGAATTTTTGTTTCATTGGATGATTTTAACACTGCCCAATTGGGGCTTTTTAGTTTGCTGTGTAGAAAGTGTAATTGAAATTTCACCATCAAAAACTGAAAGCTGAATAAAAATGTTTATTGCGGGTTGGAAGAGTGTTCTGTAATTCTCCCTGAAAACATTTTTTATAGAGTTACAAAGTACCTCATGGTGTTTCCTTTGCTCGATTCCTCGCTGCCTGTAGCCTACCTTCCAAGCTCTTAACTGTGCATAACATCCAAATTCTTCATAATTTTTCTGGCAACAAGTTAAAAAATCCTTTAGAAAGCAGTTTCTGGGACTTTCCTGGCGGTTCAGTGCTTGAGACTCCGTGCTTCCACTGCAGGGAGCACAGTTTCCATCCCTGGTTGGGGAACTAAGATCGTCACATGCCCACGCGCGACCAAAAAAAAAGAAAAAAAGCTGTTTCTCAGGTAACAGCTAAGGGAATTTTATCGTCTGGTGTACAGAGAGAGGAAACAGTAAGATAAGAAACTGGAAAGGTGGATTGGTGCCAAATTATGTACAAGTTTAAAAGATATGCATAAAATTTTAGGCTTTATTCTAAAAGCTTCAAATTCTCAATAGTGACTCTACCTCAGAAACACTGTGTGGTTCTTTAAAATACAGATGCCCTGATTCCATCTCCAGAAATACTAATCCAATTAGCTGACTCCAGTGTGCAACCAGGGTTGAGAATCATGGCTATAGGACTTGAATTGCATCTCCTCCTGTGCACCCAGGACATGGCTAATGAATACTGAGTGACTTAAACTGTTATCTTTTATTTCCTTGTTTCATACATGCAAAAAGTAAATTTATAAAAATAAAATTACTAAAAATAGAAGCATATATAAGGCTATGTGATAGTTGTTTATAAAGCAACTTCAAAAATGCAATTATATCTTTTAGACCATCTTACTTCTCTTTTAAATTGTGTGTCCCAAAGCATTCAAGTGGCAAGCATCACATGTTTGATAATCCAGGAAAAGGGAACGGAAAATCAAAATCTAAGGTTCTGTGAAAAAACAAATATTCAGATATCAGGCTTTTAACAATCAATGCCCAGCTCAGAGGGGGGATGATACAAGAAGTGGTCATATTTTTTAAATATTCAAAATCCTATCAGAAATGAAAACAAGATACAAGACTATATCAATATGCTTAGTATAATTAATAGCAAAGTGAGTAATGGCAAATTTAAATTAAAATGATCTGTATGAATTGTTTCATGATATCAAAAGGCTAACTTAAAGTAGATTCTGCAAATGCCTGTCCTTAAGCTGAGATTTAAAGGAATGGATTGAGTGAGATTTGAATCTCTACCACAAGGAGAAAAGTTGATTCAAGCAGCACAAGCGGAGTATCTCAAATGAAACCCATTCCTTGGGTAAGACAGCCGTGGCCGTGTTTGGGTAGGGCACTGCACCTTCCCTTCTGCACCTCATTTTCCAATTTCAGTTTTGAAATTTCTGTCTATAATGATCCCTGAAGGGGCCTAACCGAAACTGATGATGCAGCCTCCTTTGAGATGTAGTTGTCTTGGAAACTTCTTATTTCAAGTTGCTGCATCCTCACATCCTCCTTCGAGGTATGGTCTTGCCTTTTTGGTATGGAACAAAAAATACTGAAGGACTGTAAGATGGCAAGTTTCTAAAACCTTAGAGATGAGACTAGTATTTAGAGAACTTTGAAAATGGTGGTTTGGAGGGTAATAGGAAATGTTTGGAATACAGGTATATTGTGGTTACTGCTGTAGCAGTCTCTGCCACAGTTGAAGGTTGCCAAAAGGGGTATGTATCTCTCTTCTCCCACCACATGTTTTGAGGGACTGGGATGGTGGTTTACCCAAAGGAAGTACCTTTGGGAATTTTCATTTGGAGATTTGAAGTCTAAATCTAACAGGACCTCGGAAGGGTATGAATAGCCATAAAGTTATCACATAGCAAGACATATGTCATCAGTAATTTTACTTGACATCAAAATACTTACACATTTGCATTGCTGATGGAGTTTTTTTGAAAGTTTGCATTTGAAGGATTTTTTTCAAAGAAAGAATTGATAAACAAATGAGTAAGGACTTCAGGAACAAATTAATTTCAGGAACAGATTAACAAAGAAATTTTTATAGTATTTGAGAAAGGGAGATTAAAATGTAAGATGGGTATTTACACTCATATTCTTCACTAGTATACTAAAGTTCTTTTAAAAAAATAGTTAACAGGATATTTCATATAAGTTATAATTTCAAAGAAACAAAAATGTATTAAGGTTCCGTTTGTGTGTGTGCATTTTATACATAACCTTCCCAAATGGATTTGTGTTGACTTAGAAAAATAACAAGATATGTAAGGACAAAGGAAAAATTAAGATAAATATATCAGTTGGGATTTTTTGTTTCTGTCTAAATTGAATATAGTCAGCAAACAAAAATGGTGAATTTAATATTTATTACTTCATATTATTGCAAAATGCAGCAATGGGGTTAGCGTTAGAAAAAGATTTAGCCAGTGGACTCAGACAAGGCAGCCCAAAGTTTCAGTTTGTTTGTGATTCTGGTCTGCCTTCTACTTTCTGTTTTAGCAGCAGGCTCTGAATGAACATCACTACCCATACATTCCAGATTTCCAGAAAAGGCTGCAGATATTCTCAAGTATCACAAACGGTAGACTCCATAGGATACCACATTTTGTTCCTAAGTATTATAAGTTACAATAAGAAATGTACAGTTATTTCAAGGGCATTGTTCTGTGTTGCTGGGGGTTATTAGCTGCCAATCTGCATTCCAGTTAAGACTTCTTTCTGGTAATCAGCTTAAACTTTGTTTACTAAATGCAAAGGTACATTGACATGGTTTTCACAATATCACTGACTTTAAATTCTGAAAATTTGGGATACATATGCTCATATTCTCCATATTTAAGGTGCTGGTGTTAATATATATATTTTTTTCCCTGACTTGCAGCTGATTTGTGAATCCTTGCATCACATTATGGGATTGCTAGACAGACTTTCAGGCTTGCTTGGCCTCAAAAAGAAGGAGGTTCATGTTTTGTGCCTTGGGCTGGATAATAGTGGCAAAACAACAATCATTAATAAACTTAAACCTTCAAATGTAAGTATATTTATTGGATGCATTATATATTTTCTGCTAAAGAAAGCTAATGGAGGATTATTTTGTCATTGTAACTTCATTGTCACATTATGAAATCTTGTTAAATTTGTGATACCTTTAGTAAAGTAATAAGTATCAGTCAACCATAACGTGAAATGTATTTTATGCTGGTATGTAGGTAAATCTTGACTATTTAAACTGGAATATTTTCCAAATGTCTTTTCTTCACAAAAGAGCTTCAAAAATTTGTGGAGTTTACGTTCAGGTAGCATTGCCTTCGTCTTGACTCTCTCTTTACAAGAGGAGCAAAACAAAGGGAAAGGTGAATCATTTTTACAGATTCTGTGGATAATTAGCCAGTTTCCCAAGGGTGTTGCATGCATATTGGTAGTAGCAAGTAAGATGACTTTTGAGTCATGTAAGTCATAAGTACATGAATGTACTGTTTAAATCAGTGAAATATATATATAAACTAGGACATTTACCACATAATGTATGAGTTATATTGTGCTGTGCGCCCAGTTGTGCTGTGTGCCCAGCTGTGTCCAGCTCTTTGCAGCCCCTTGGAGTATAGCCTGACAGACTCTTCTGTCAATGGAATTTTCCAAGCAAGAATACTGGAGTTGGTTGCCACTTCCTACTCCAGGGGATCTTCCCCACCCAGGGATCAAACCTCTTGTGCCTCCTGCATTGAAAGGCCAATTCTTTACTACTGTGCCATCTAGGAAGTGTAAGCTACAATTAGGTTTTGCTGTATATAGAGAAAACCCACGTAACAGTGGAGTGCAGATGGAGGCTTCTTTTTCTGTCATCTCAGTAAGTCCAGAAGAAATATTCCAGGGCTGGTGTGGCAGCTGCATGGTCCAAACGTCTTCTGTCCTTCTTCTCTGCTATCCTTAGTGCCTTGTTTTCTTCAGGGTCCTCGGAATCTCCACATGGCCATCTTAGTTAACTATCCTCAGTTCAGTTCAGTCGCTCAGTCATGTCTGACTCTTTGCGGCCCCATGGACTGCAGCACGCCAGGCCTCCCTGTCCATCACCAACTTCTGGAGCCTACCCAAGCTCATGTCCATTGAGTCGGTGATGCCATCCAACCATCTCTTCCTCTGTCGTCCCCTTCTCCTCCTGCCTTTGATCTTCCCCAGCATCAGGGTCTTTTCCAGTGAGTCAGTTCTTCGCATCAGGTGGCCAAAGTATTGGAGTTTCAGCTTCAACATCAGTCCTTCCAATGAACACCCAGGACTGATCTCCTTTAGGATGGACTGGTTGGATCTCCTTGCAGTCCAAGGGACTCTCAAGAGTCTTCTCCAACACCACAGTTCAGAAGCATCAATTCTTCAGCGCTCAGCTTTCCTTATAGTCCAACTCTCACATCCATACATGACTACTGGAAAAACCATAGCCTTGACTAGACAGACCTTTGTTGGCAAAGTAATGTCTCTTCTTTTTAATATGCTGTCTATATCCTAAGTTGCAGAGATGAGAAAAGAACAAGGCAAAAGAATAAGTCGTCCTGCCAAATAAGTCCTCCTTAAAGAGCTTACTCAAAAGCTTCCACTAAAGACTCTTTCACCTCACTGGCTACCCCATCTGTAAATGAGGCTGGATTTTTTTTTTTAAACAGGACATATTGCTGCTTCCATTAGTAACAGGGGTCGTGTAAGAACAAAAGAGGGGCTTCCTTGGTGGCTCAGTGGTAAAGAACCCACCTGCCAATGCAGGAGAAGTGAGTTTGATCCCTGGGTTGTTAAGGTCTTATGAAGAAGGAAATGGCAACCCACTCAGTATTTTTGCCTGGGAAATCCCTGGACAGAGGAGCTGGCAGACTACAGTTCATAGGGTTGCAAAGAGTCAGACATGACTTAGTAAACAATAACAAAGTATGAAAGAATAGGAGAGTGAATATGAGGTAAACAGTTAACATTGACAGTTGTAAGTACTTTTATCTAGATAAAAACCATTAGTCAATCAATGGAAGATGTTGATGAAAAAATATATAGCCTGCATATAAATCTAGCAGGTGGTTCAAAATTAGGAAGCTGGTGCTCTTAATGACTGACAGGCCACATAGTAGGAAACATTGCCCCTAAATAGGGTAATTGAAGGTGGACTTCATTGCCTCCAAATAGTGCTTCAGGTTGGGCAGAATGAGAACTCCTGTCCCCCACCACCTTTTCCCCAACAGCTTAAGTTTTACTTCTGTTTAGTTTGAGATTGCTCTCAAATTACAAAAATGCCATCATTTCTTGTGGTCACCATTCCCTTCTTCTACATGGGAGAATTTGCCATGTGAAACAACTAACTACTGGTGTATTTTCAGATGGCAGTTAGTTTGAGGCAGCTGGGATAAGAAGTTGAAAATGGGAGTTCCCCAGTCAAGTTGGAAATCAGCTGAAATAGATGTGCTAAAGTCAGAGATTTTAAAAAAAAATAGCAGTTTTATTGAAAAAATTAATTTTGGAGGGCAAGGTTTAGGTCTGGCCAGAGGACTTGCTAACACTCTCTTGAGTTATGCTTCATGTACCAGAATTCATGCTTTCCTCCTCAGGGAGAGATCCTGCTTATTTAGGTTTACTGCATGGTTAAGAACAGATGAGAATGCATGGTTTCAAGAAGCATGTGACTCTCAATGAGAGAGAGGCAGAACCAAGAATGTTGTTTCTATTTCACAAACTGAGACGTCAAAGAAGTCCTCCCCACCCATGAAAAGGAATAAATTTAGAGAGGACAGATACAGCAGCTAGAAGTGTCATTTTAAAAAATGGGGTCTTCTCTATATGAAAGCAGAGGAAAAAGATTTCACCAATAAGGAAAGGAACAGGTTAAAAAGTCTGTCTCCTAACCAAGGTGATTGTAATAAATTTCTTTAACAGTCTTTAAGAAGAAGATATAGCAACCTACCCACTTGAATGGGGTCCAAATTGAATATAGAGAACCATACCCAGCTGTGGTTGGGTCCATAATTAGTTCCACGGATGGTTCGGCTATCAGTAGATCAGCCTGGGCTACTATTAAGAAACTTAGTGGCTGGTGATGTGCAGCGCTTGTGCAGGTCAGCCTAGTAGCATAAGGGAGCAAGATTGTAAGGAAGTTCTTTAGGTAAGGTCCTATTCTATAGGAGATATTTCCATTTTTTTCCTACATCAAGGAATGTCTTCAAAAGTAATTTTTTTGTAAAAGTTGTGTCAAATAAGGACAAAATTATTGAAACTAGAGTCACAGTAGTACCAAAGTGTGCCAGCCCCCTGGAGCCTGCTGTACTCAGATTGGCAGAAATGACATTCAAAGAACAAAATGGAAATTACGTTGTCTCTTTCCATCATCCCCAACAGTATAGTGATCTTCTGTCCCAAGACATGGTTATTACTGTAGGAATAATCTTCTTTGATATGGATGGGAGCAGCTTTCTTCTCTAAACATTATTGGTCATTTGGGGCAGCAGGGAAAGGAGACATCCTGAACTCAGTCTACCATCTTAAAATATTCTAATATCCCAATTTCAGACTAGCCCTGTACAAGACCTGCTGACCCTGCCTAACACACTATACTAGTCACGGAGCGGCTTCAGGAACATCTGGGCATGCAGCCAATTACTGAGGCTTTTTAATTAATCTTTTGCTTTCCAGCATATGCATTTCTCTGCTACCACTGGTGAATTATGAAACTAGCCTAGACCAGCTCCAGGTATATTTTTAAGGGGATCATCTAATTTCTGACACCACTTCCTGAGACTTAATCTTTAGGCAACTATCCTGTCTCCCTCAGAACAATTGACCTCTGCCTTCTGAGGGCAGAATAAGAGCCCTAAAACCTGTCACCCAGGCACAGATAAAACACTTGCTTCCTCCCTACCTTTGAACCCAAGAGCAGTCTCTTGGGAGCTTGTATCCACTTTGAGAAATATTATTTTTAATGAATAAGGTGAGTAATAGAAATCAAAAAGCAGAGACATTACTTTGCCAACAAAGGTCCATCTAGTCAAGGCTGTGGTTTTTCCAGTAGTCATGAATGGATGTAGGGGTTGGACTATAAAGAAAGTATAGCGCCAAAGAATTGATGCTTTGAACTGTGGTGTTGGAGAAGACTCTTGAGAGTCCCTTGGACTGCAAGGAGATCCAACCAGACCATCCTAAAGGAGATCAGTCCTTAGTGTTCATTGGAAGGACTGATCAATACTTTGTCCACCTGATGTGAAGAACTGACTCATTGGAAAAGACCCTGATGCTGGGAATGACGGAAGGCAGTAGGAGAAGGGGATGACAGAGGATGAGATGGTTGGATGGCATCACCGACTCAATGGACATGAGCTTGGGTGGACTCTGGAAGTTGGTGATGGACAGGGAGACCTGGTGTGCTGCTGTCCATGGGGTCGCAAAAAGTCGGACACTACTGAGCGACTGAACTGAACTGAATAGAAATCTATGATCCTCTATTAGGAAAATGTCTTGAAAGAAATTACAAGTCTCATTTTAGAGTAAAATAGTCTCATACTTTTTTGCGGAGGGATAAAGTCAGTTTCTAGATAACTAGATACTTCCTGAGCCCAAACTAGTTTTTAATATTAAGCTCTCTCAATGTTCATTTGTTGTTAATTATGTTAAGGTTGCTGATCTTTTCTAAACTGATAAGGAGAGAAAAGAGGTACATTTTAACCTGATAGCTTTTCAAGAATCTGGTCTTAGTGTCATAGTAAGAGTTGTGCTCTATTAACACCTTTCTTCTAAAATTCTTTTGCCCCATTCCCCAACATAAATGCTCTCATTGTATCATGTCATCCAGTTTTATATTCTTAACATTTAAAACAATCTGCAATTGCTTCACACATTCAGTTGATAAGTTGTTTATTACATTTTTCTTCATCATAAAACTAAATTCATAGAGCATAGATCTTACATTGCCCAATAATGTTGTTTAAAAAAACTCAGGCACGTCTGACTCTTTGTAACCCTGTGGACTGTAGACTGCCAGGCTCCTCTTCATGGGCTTGCCCAAATACCTAGAATATTTCTTAGTAGTTAAATGTATTTTTGTACAAATGGACTGATGAGTGATTTTTTAATTTTCATTTTTGTGCAGGGAATGATTATTGATCATACCAAGGATATAATTTTCAACAAATTTAGTAAAACTTACCAAATAGGGTCTCTCTTGGAAACCTTGTTCTAGTCTTACTGATATTGGTCTATTACTGGGCTGTCTCAGATGGCCTAATCCATTTAGGTAATAATTCCTGTTCTCTTTCCTTGGTTTGTAAGCATCCCCTGTCCAATTTAGAGAATCATCAAATGTATTTGTTCCTGAATAGAGCAGAGGGAAATTAATCAGTGAAGACTATTTCAGAATTCTTTAGAGGAAAATGAATCACACTTGAATCTGAAAGTACCAGCTCACATATCTTGTCCTGTCCTAATTAATTTGTGGAGTTTCTTCTTTCTAATTATCTTCCACTAGAACTTTAAAAGTGAAGAAAAGAAAAGAAAGTTGATTAATTTTACCCCTGTTAAAACAGCAAATTAAAGGGTAGCTTCTCTGGAAACAAAAAGAGTTTGTGAAGAAACTGGGTGGTTATGGACAGGCTGGGCCAATTTCTAATTACAGTTCAGTGATTAGAATTATAGTTCAAGGCTACTCATTTGAGCTATATTTTCTGAGATTTCTTTAAATGTTCAACTTACTTTTTTTTTATTATTGTTATTTTTTCCTAATAATAATAGCTGATGGTTTTATCACATTGGCACATGAAAATTCATAAAATCAAAACAGTATTGTATTTTAGGACAACAAAAATTAGGAAACTCTTTATTCCAAAGTTTGTTATACAGTGAAGGACCCCTAAGATATGAGGTAAGAATCTGAGTAACAGAAAATAAATTCTGTCTAACATAGAGAAATTTTTGGAAGAGTACTAGGCAGCTCACAGAATGGAAGGGAAAGCTGAGTAATCAGATTTCAGAAAGCCAAAACCAGGGCCGCTCTGGGAAATCTTTTCACTAGCACATTACTGTTAAGGTGACCAAGCTCCAGGGACCTTTCACCTTATGTCTTTCCATTTGAATTTTAAATTTTCTGGAGTAAACTACCAAAGTGAACATAATGATGTAAGGCAGCAATTTTCCCTCTACTCCTCCTCTTTTTACATAAAAGCAAAGTGATGAACTCAAAGGGGAATTTTTTTTTTTAATTTTTTTTTTTTAGGTTACACTTTTGGCAGTATGAAGAAGACGGGTACAAAACTGAAATCAGTGAGCTTGTAATTCTTAATGATAACAACCATTTGTTGAGTGTTTACTATGGACCAGACACTGGTATCTTGCATCTATTAATTTACTTAATTCTCATGAAAACATTAAGAGTTAAGGGTAGTAATGATATATTTTACATTTAAGAAAACTCAGGCTTAGAGAAGTAACTTGTTTATATGGTGTATTAGCAGTTAGAGGTAATCAGGAGGCTGCTGTAGTAATTTGAAGCAAGAAATGATGAGCACCTAAGCTAAGTTAGTGAGCCAGAATCAATAAAGCTTAGAGAATTGTTGTATAGGGGATGTAAAAAAAAGGAAGGAGTCAAGAATAACTTCTAGACATCTGGGTCAGAAAGTGAATGGACTTCTATTCAAAAGGAGAAAGTTTTGATGGTAGAAGTATTAACTCAATTGCCTGTTAATTGCCAATTAAGTTAACTTAATCAACAAGTTAACTTGTCAATGTAAGGTCTTTTACTTGCCTGTGGATCCTTTCAGCAGGTCTCCCATTATACTCTCGCCCTCTTGCAGTCTCTTTTCCACTCAGTCTCCACCATGGCCCCGTGGCCCCATCTCTTGGTTACACACAGTCTTTCCCTTAGTAAATACATTTTAGACATACAGGCCTTCAACTTTCCTGAGTGGTGAGTTCCTCCCTTCCTTGCAATCATTGCCCTGGCTGTTTCCTTTGACTGGGTTGTCCTTTGCCCAGATCTTGTCATAGCTTTTTGCCTTCTTAACATTTACTGGGTGAGATGTCACCTCTCTCAGACAGGCTTGTTGCTAAACTAACCCTCCTCCACCCCATTGCCTCCCACCCTCAATCACCTTTCATTGCACTTGGCACTGTTCAAAATTGGTATCTTAGTTGTTTATTGCTGTTTACCTTCTCTAGATTATAAATTCCATGAGAGCAGAGACCATGTATATTCACCATCTAGACATGAAGACAGTCCTCTGTAGCACACGTCCTGCTTGCTAAGTTGTTTCAGTCGTGTCTGACTCTCTGCAACCCCATGGACAGTATCCTGCCAGGCTCTTCTATTTCTGGGATTCTCCAGGCAAGAATACTGGAGTGGGTTGCCATGCCTGCCTCCAGGGGATCTTCCCGACCCAGGGATCGAACCCACCTCTCTTATGTCTCCTACATTGGCAGACAGGTTCTTTACCAGGAGTGCCACCTCGGAAGCCACTCTGTTCATTTGCAAACTCAATAAGTATGGAAGATTAGGAAGTCCTATATATGAGCTAAAAGAGAATTGTGAAACTATTTTAAGTTGGTGGTAACTTTCAGCAAGCCTCAAAATATGAATTAAGACACACATTATGCAGATTTATAATTAGTAAACCTTAAACTTCTATAAAGAATTCATACACAATGATCTTGCAAAAATTATGATTTTGTTTAATCCTTTCATTTTCTTAGTGGCATATTTTAGAATTGGAAAAACTGGGTGCTTTTCTTTTAACCTGAGGAAAAATGCATCTTTGGTAATTGCAAATTTCTAAACTTTGTCTCTTTTCTTAAAGGCTCAGTCTCAAGATATAGTTCCAACAATAGGATTCAGCATAGAGAAATTCAAATCGTCTAGGTAATTCATTTTATTAAACTTGTGATTAAGAAGTTTTGAGTGAAAAATAGTATTAGATCTGTCTAGTTATTCCTGCTACTCTTAGAAAAAGGGATCTGTTGTTTTAGAAGCTCACCAATGTTAAAATATTTGTACTATTATCCCTGGATTATTCTTCAGAATTTAGAGGTTAGATGAATCCTTATAATTTCACTAGCAAAGAAAAATATATTTTTATATGTTACTATTACAAAATCCTATTTATATTCAAGAAATTTATTCTGTGGCCCTTGTACTTGAAAGCTGGCCCAGCTTGAGCATTGTATACTCAAGGGTAGTTTCTTTGATTGATAATAATTTAAAGTTTTAGTAGCTTATAATGTAGTGATTTTTTGTTATTGTTTTTTTTGTTTTATAGTTTGTCTTTTACAGTGTTTGACATGTCAGGTCAAGAAAGATACAGAAATCTCTGGGAACACTATTATAAGTAAGTATGTTTGCAAATGTTGGTTAACTAGATGGTTATATTTTAACAACAAGTAGTGATTAGAAATCCAAATGATTACATGGGCTAGGTTGCAATGTTTATTTTTATGCAATTTAAGTATACATCCTAAGTTTTTAAAAAATATATAATCATACTTGACGTTATTTGTCAAATGCTTCAGATTCTTCATAACTTTGGGCCTTGCATGTTCTGTTGTCTGTTTTTAATGTCCTGTTCTACTCTACTTCTCTGCAGCTTAAGGCCGATATATTCATTAAGGACTAGCTCGAAAGTCACCTGTGGAGATTCCACTCATTGTGGAGATGCCCAGTTATTCTGGCCCCTTGTTGGCACAGTACTTAACCATTCGTATTTCTCTTATCTTATAACCATATAATCAAGGGGGTGGGATCTTTTTCTTATTCAGATTATTTCTTCAAGATGAAGTGTGATTCTGGGCACACAGATCAGTAAATAATTACTGAATAAATTTAGTTAAAATAGCAGCACCAACAGTTGATCATTTGTTCAACAAGCAGTTCTAAACGAGATGTTTTGCTGTGTATGCAAATCAGGTGCTCACCAGTTACTTCAGACTAACAGCTATCGAGTTGCTAGGATCCAAATACGCTATGTTTGTGGTATCCTGCGTTAAATTCTCTGGGGGAAATGTGAGATGTTTTTGTTTTTAAGGCAACTTGAGTTTTCAGTATAGGATTTTTTTAATTCCTCTTCCAATTAATTGGTAAACAACTTTTTAAAAAAATGTATTTAATACTTAAAAAAAAATTTTATTACAGAAAATGCAATACTATGTAAAAAATAGTACTTAAAGGAAATTTTTTTTCTGATTTTAACATTCTTTTTCGAAGAAGTTAATGAATTCAGGAATATTTTAGATACACTGTAGGTGGAATGCTGAATATGGTTACTGTTCAGAAATCTACAGTAATAGTAAATTTCCTGTAGCTATATTTTTCTGATTGTGAAAGAACAAGTGCATTTTAATCTATTAAACTGAAAAAAGGTTAAAAAGATTAAGTCTACTGTTGGCAAAACAAGCTACTCTTACAGATAATGTAACATCTTTTTTAGGGTAATTTTTCAATATCTGTTAAAATGAAAAATGTTCATACCCTCCAGCCATAATTTTTGCTTTCAGAAAAGTACAGGTGACTGGGACTGCTGGGCAAACATGTACATAAAAGAATGTGTGTTGAGAATTATTTATAATGATATTTTGTCATATCTCAGTTATATAAAGAAAATTATTCTTAATAAAAATGTATGCTTGATATATATTGAGAGAGAAGAAAATTCTTAGTGTAATATGTACTGCATCATTAATAGCATTTGTTTTGGTACTAATGAAACTATAAAGGAAGTTTACTTTGTCATTTATTTGATTCTGTAATGTTAATTATTATATAGTTTTTGCATATTACTCTTTGAATATAAAAAAGTAATAAAGCCTAAGATATAAGGAGTGAATATCAGGAAATGTTTAGAAAGTATATCTTTTGAGTATGTTTCTTCTGTTTTGAAATAACATTTAACATAAACTGAGAAAGGAGCCTTCTAAAGTATGCACCATGTGCTGTATAGTTTTCATTTAACATTCTATGATAAGTCAGGAAAAAATAAAAAGAATGTAACTTTCATGGCAACCTAATATTTTCTTATATTCTTTCCTATGCCAAAATTTGCTTAATCATTTCTGTTTTTGGACATGAAGGTTGTTCTCAGTTTTGGAAGATGATAAACAATTCTTCATTAACATATTACTGTATAAATCTTTGTCATACTTCATGTTTCCTTAGTATAAATATCAGAAATGAAATTACTGGCTCAAAGTGATGGAATGTTTTTAAAGCTCTTGATATATATTTCCAATTGTATCAATTTTTATATCCACTGGTAATGTATGACTATAATAAAATGCATTCATCTTTTTAAATGATAGCAGACAATGGTATTAAAAAGTTTTATTTTTTTATATGCATGTGAGTACTAATGACATTGAACTTTAAAAATCTTGATTTATGACTGGAATAAGTCACAAAAATATATAAATGTCCAATAAATATATGAAAGTATATTGAACTTAACAAGAAATTAATAAAATGCAAAGTAAAATAATATGCTGTTAGGATGGTAAAAAAATTGAAAAGAATAAGAGCCATGCTGGCCAGGGAGTGGGAATAGCGCTGATAGTATTATAAAATTGCTATAGCATTTCTAATTTGTCAGTGTTTATCTAAAACTTTAAATTATGTATGTATTCCTAGGCATTCTGTTCCTAAGAAGAGATCTTAAAGTATCAAGAAATTTTTTAAATGTATTTGGGAGGATGTTTATCCCAAAGTTTTTCATAGTAATGAAAATTGGAAGTATTCTATGAAGCCCAACAATAGAAGTTTGATACAATATTTAATGACATACTCATTATACTTTACGGTATGATGAAAGATGTTATTGAAAGACGTCTTTCAAAAAAACTATTGAAAGCTTCTTTATGCTTTAATGCTTCATGTAAAAGTAGTTCAAACTATACTGTAAAAAAGATCAAGGAAGTGTACATATATATATCAGAAAGGCAGAATAAAACAGCAAGATTCCATTTAAGTACAGATGTAGATATTCGTATATGAATATTCTTGCTTGGAAAATTCCATGTACAGAGGAGCCTGCCAGGCTGCTGTCCATGGGGTTGCAAAGAGTTGGACAGGACTGAATGCACATGCATACACACATGTACAAAGTAAATGTTGAAAACGGTTTATTTGCAAATATTAATGATTGTGCCTGTGTAATAGGATTATGTTTTTACCCTTTATTTTTTAATTTAATTTATGACCATGCTAAGTTCGTTGCTGCACACGGGCTTTCTCTAGTTGCAGTGATCCGGGGCTACTTTGTAGTTGTAGTATGTGGGCTTCTCGTTGTGGGGGCTTCTCTTATTGCAGAGCGTGGGCTCTGGGCTTCAGAAGTTGAGGCGCTTTGGCTCAGTAGTTGTGATTCACAGGCTCTGGAGTGTGGGTTCAGTGATTGTAGCGCATGGGCTGAGTTACTCTGCATAATGTGGGATCTTCCTGGATCAGGGAATCAAACCCCTGTCCCCTGCATTGGCAGGTGGATTCTTAACCACCAGGGAAGCCCACCTTGTTATTTTTTAAAATTATGAAATGAGTCATTAAATTTACCACGTTATTATCCAAATGAATAAAAATTACTTTACATGAAATGTGACTAATTTGGTTAATATATTAACCAAAATATGGCAATATTAATTACTCATATAAACTAGTAAGGAACAGCACCGACGCCTGTAACGACAAATCATCATAGGACATGAAAACATAATAAACAGTTTAAGATATGCAAATGAATCATTAATGTAGAAAAATGTTTATCATTAATTTTTCTCGTTCTGTGTATTACACAGAGAAGGACAAGCCATTATTTTTGTCATTGATAGTAGTGATAGCTTAAGAATGGTTGTGGCCAAAGAAGAACTTAATACTCTTCTGAATCACCCAGGTACGTGTGTGTGTCTTCAGTCTGTGATGTCTGTGCTTTGGGGTCATGTGTGATGTTTTGTTCTTTGATGTCAGCAAAACATGTTGTTTACACTGTATAGTCTTATTTAAATTTTTTAATTTTAAAGCGTATTAATTATGTGGAATTAGCAATACCATATATAGATTTTTTTAATTTCAAAGCCATTTGCAGTGTTTTCCAGGTCTTTGATCTGTTATTTTATGAAATTAAAAGTGCCCTTTTTTCCTGATCATGTAAATAATGTATCAGTAACAAAGCAGATGAACAGAAAAAGAATAAGAGTGAAAGTAAAAATTGATGTTCCAACACATTAAAATTTTTTTGGTTGCCATCTTTACAAAGGTGTGAATGTGTAATCACAGTATTTCTTAGATATTTATTGTGAGAATTTTTTTAAAACAGATCTTTTCTATTTTTAAATTACTGCCAGCCCTCGAATTCCCTTTTAAGATAATAGCATTAACAATTTGGTACTTTTTCTTTCCTACCTTTGCTTATAATTTCGTATCATATATATATATATATATATATATGCACAGATACATCAACATATACAGGTACCAAAGATATATACAGTTACCCCTTGATATCTATGGGGGATTTGTTCTAGGATCCCTAAGGATACCAAAAGCTGTGGTTGCTCATGTCCCTTATGTAAAATAGTAGTATTTGCATAGAACCTATGGGCATCCTCTCATGTATTTTAAACCATCTCTAGATTGCTTATAATACATAACACAATGTAAATACTGTGGCTCAGATGGTAAAGAATCTGCCTGCAACACAGCAGACTCAGGTTCGATCCCTGGGTTGGGAAGATCCCTTGGAGAAGGGGTCTGCAGTCCATGGGGTCACAAGAAGTCAGACATGACTGAGCAACTAATAATACAATGTCAACGGGTGGTAAATTCAAGTTTTATTTTCAGGAACTTTCTGTAATTTTTTTCCCTGAGTGTTTTCCTTCCATGGTTGGTTGAATCTGTGGGTGTGGAGTCCACAGATACAGAGGGCCAACTATATAGGGTTGGGGGCTATGAGGACTGTCATCATTACTTACTAGAACAGGATCATATTCTGTATACTCTTCTGCATCTTCCTATTCTCAAATATCACTGCATGGTGGAAATCCTTCCAAGTCAAATTGCGTGTATACAATTATTCTTTTAATGATGCCTAACATGCCATACTATGAATGGGTTGTGGTTTATTCAGTCATTTGCCTGTTGCTAGATATTCCTTCCCTCCCACCCCTCAGGAGTTCTCAGTACTGTTGTGGAATTCTGCATTTCTAGCCTTGCTCTTGCAGAAAGATTGAAGTGACCTTTGTACCAGTACTTTTAGAAGAGGACTTTTAGAAAATGGTTTAAAAGAAATGCAGATTTGTTAGAATAAAAGCAGAAATAGTATGTGGCCTTCTAAGAATTCTTTCTGCTTAACCACAATATCTTTGGTATTTTTATTAGACAACCTAAAGTTTATTCAAATATGTGGAGGGAAAACTATCCAACCTGTGCTTTTTCTGTGACTTTTTCACTTTTAAAAACTTATCTTTTATCTGGGTTGAGAAGGCATTTTTGATTCTGCATCCCCTTTTTGTTAATCTTTCCCCTTTCTCCCCAAAAAAAGTCATGACATTGACTAAAACTTGAAATACGTCTTACAACATCTGCTTTAAATAAATACAATGGGAACCTTAATTTCCTCAACTAAAGCCTTATCCATGTATCTATATATACTTACTGATGCATTTATTTTATAGGTTAGATTCCCAAAAAAGGAATTTCTCAACTGAAATATATATTGAACTTTTTTTTAATTGATGTATAATATGTAATACAGAGAAATACTCCAATCTTAAGTATACAGTTCTGTAATTTTGACAAATGCGTATATTCATGTAACTGTTCTTGTCTATACACTCCCAGACAAGAAACAGAACATTTTCATCACCCTCTAAGTTCTTTCATGCCCCTTTCCAATCAGCACCCCCTACAAGGGGCCAGAAGAGCTACTAATCTGATTTCAGTCTCCAAAATTTTGCCTTTTTTACAATTTCATATAGATGGTGGGAAAAAGTACATACATTTTTGTGCCTCGGCTTTTACATTCAGTGTAATGTTTTGGGGAGTCGCCCATGTTGTTGTATGTATCACTTGTTTTCTCCTTTTATTTGCTTTGTAATATTTTATTATATGACTGTAACGCAGTTTGTTTATCCAGTGTTTAGTAATTGATACCTGAACTGTTCCTAGTTTAGGGCAATTATGAATAAAGTTGGTGTGAACATTTTTTGAAATACAATTGACATATAATTTTATATCAGTTTCAGGTATTCAGCATAGTGATTTGATATTTGTATATACAGTTAATCTTTGAACAACTAGGATTTGAACTGCACAGGTCTACTTACATGTCGATTTTTTTCAAATAATGCCACAGTAGTACTATATGATCCAAAGTTGACTGAATCCACAAGTGTGAAACCACAGAGGGCCAGCCATGAAGTTATTCACAGATTTTTGAATGTGCAGAGGTTAGAGCTCCAACCCCCACATTGTGCAAAGGTCAACTGTACTGTGAAATGATCACCACAAGTCTAGTTAACATCCATCAGGACACATAGTTAGAAAATTTTTTTTTCATGTGATGAGAACTTTTAAGATATACTCTTAGCAACTTTCAAATACCCAATCCAGTATTACTAACTGTAGTCTCCATGGTATACATTACATCTCATAAATTATTTCATGACTGGAAGTTTGTACTTTTTTTACCCCTTTCATGCATTTCAAGCTCTCTCCACCCCAGGCACCTCTGGCAACAACCAATTTCTTCTCTGCATCCATCAGTTTGTTTTCTTTAGACATTTTTTGTCTTCTTTAGATTTCACATGTGAGATCATATGGTATTTGTCTTTTTCTGACTTAGTTCACTTAGCATAGTGGATTTCGTTTTGTCATTTTCTGTCTTGTAATGGCCTTTTCTGATTTTGTATTAGGGCTGTGGGGACCTCGTAAAATAACTGCAAGAGCAGTTGCTCCTCCTCTTTTTATTTTTTTTTTTTATGTTTTGGATTTGTGTAGAATTGGTATTATTTCTTAAGCATTAAATAAAATGAAGCCATCTGGTTTAGGATTTTGTGTGTATGTTGGGGGCATGAATTATAAATTCAGTTTCTTTAAATGAAGTAGGGCTATTAAAGTTCTGTATTTCTTCTTGGGTCACTTCTAGTAATATATAACCAAATCTGTTAATTTGTTAGCTTATATAAGTTGTGAGATTTATTGGCATAAAATTGTATCATCCTCTCATTATCCTTTTAATGTCTTTAAGACCTGTATGATATACATATTTTCTTTCATTTCTAATACTGGTAATTTATGTTTCCTCCCTTTTTTATTGTTCCATCTTTTAGAGAGTTTGTGGTTTTACTAATTTTCCAAGAAAAACTTTTAACTTGGGCAGTTTCCTCTGTGGATGTGTCTTTTTCAGATTTCATTAATATCTGCTCTTTTTTTATTACAGATTTTTGTTTTTATTTTGAACTTCCTGTACTTAAATTGAATTTCATTTTCTCTTTATCTTTTTCAGATTGAAGTAGAAATTGTTGATTTTATATATTCTTATGAAACATTTTGTATCTACCTTTTATAATAAAAGCATTTAAAGCAATACATATTTTCTGAGGATTTAACTATCTCACAAATTCTGATATATTTCTTTATTATTTGGCTCAAAGTATTTTCTAACTTACCTTGCAAATTCTTCTTTGATGCTTGGGTTATTTAGTTGTGTATTATTATTTAATTTCCCAAATATTTGGAATTTTCTAGGTGTCTCTTTGTTATTGATTTCTAATTTAATTCTGTTTGATCAAATAACCTATTTCAAAGATTTTCATTCTTAGAAATATATGGCCTAACACATATGGTTGAGTATGGTGAATGTTCCATCTGCAATTCCATAGAATGTGTATCTTGCTTTACTTGGGTGAAGAGTTCTGTAAATATCAGTTGATAGTGTTATTCACATCTTCCATATCCTTTTATTGTGGAAGAGTTGATGTACAGTATCATATAAGTTTCACATGTACAACATGATGGTCCAGTTTTTTAAGTTGTGTTGTATTTATACTAAATACAAAATACGGCCTGTATTCCCTGTGTCACACAATATGTTCTTGTAGCATGTTTGTTTTATATGTAGTAGTTTGTTCCTCTTAGTCCCCGACCCCTAACCTCTCTCCCACCCTCCCCTCTCCCCAGGGGTAGCCACTAGTTTGCTCCCTGTGTCTGAAGTCTGTTTCTTTTTTTGTTAACATTCAGAAGCTTGTTGTATTTTTTTAGATTTTATATATAAGTGGTGTCATACAATATTTGTCCTATTTCATCCAGCATACCACCCTCCAAGTCCATCTATGTTGTTGCAAATGGTAATATTTAATTCTTTTTTATGGCTGAGTAGTATACCATTGTATGTATGTACCACATCTTTATCCATTCCTCTGCTAAGTACATTTAGGTTGCTTCTATTTATTTATTTATTTTTAGGTTGCTTTTATATCTTAGCAATTTTAAATAATGCTGCTGTGAGCATTAGGGTGCTTGTATCATTTCAAAGATTGTTATTTTTTTTATTTTATAAATACCTAAGAGTAGAATTATTGACTCACGTGGTAGTTATATTTTTAGTTTTCTGCTGCTGCTGCTGCTGCTAAGTCGCTTCAGTCGTGTCCGACTCTGTGCGACCCCATAGATGGCAGCCCACCAGGCTCCCCGGTCCCTGGGATTCTCCAGGCAAGAATACTGGAGTGGGTTGCCGTTTCCTTCTCCAATGCATAAAAGTGAAAAGTGAAAGTGAATCCACTCAGTAGTGTCTGACTCTTAACGACCCCGTGGACTGCAGCCCACCAGGCTCCTCTGTCCATGGAATTTTCGAGGCAAGAGTACTGGAGTAGGGTGCCATTGCCTTCTCCAGAAACCTCAATTCTGTTTTCCATAGTAGCTGCACCAGTTTCCATTCCAGCTAACAGTGTACAAGAGTTCACTTTTCTGTGCATCCACACCAATATTTATTATGTGTGTTCTTTTGGACCTCAGCCATTCTAACAGAGAGATGTAAGGTGATATTTCCTGGTGATTTTAATTTGCATTTTTAGTATGCATCTACTAAGTTAATCCAATGTGTCTTTTAAAGCGGCCGTTTTCTTATTGACTTTCCATGTGAGTGATCTGCCGTTGATGGAAGGGGGCATTAAAGACCCCTTACCACTATTGTGTTGCTGTCAATTTCTACATCTATTAATATCTGCCTTATATGTTTACCCTCTCCTGTGTTGGGTACATACATATTGACAGCTGTCTTTATCTGCTTGAATTGATCCCGTGAGCACTGTCCTTTAATGTCCTCCTTTGCCTCTTTTTATAGTTTGAAGTCTCTTGGGTCTGATATATGCATTGCTGCCCCACCGGTTTTTTTGTTTCCATTTGCATGAAATATCTTTTTCCATCCTCTCACTTTCAGTTTGTTTCTTTGGATTTGAAGTGAATCTCTTATAGGCAACTTATGTATGGGTCTTTTTCAAAAAATCCACTCAGCCACCCTATGTCTTTTGACTAGTCCATTTACATTCTTATCCTCCTTCTATATTTCTGTTTGAAGTTTTCTTTGTGTTGACAGTAAAAATGAAACAAAATGTTTGACTTTTTGCTAGGTGCTGTTCAGTAACTGTTTAATGAGTCCTCCACTCCCACCTCATCCATCTTTGGTTTACAGTTCCAACAAGAAGGCAGATAATCTTACTTCCCTTGTAACTCAGCTGGTAAAAACTCTACCTGCAATGAGGGAGACCTGGGTTCAAGCCCTGGGTTGGGAAGATCCCCTGGAGAAGGGAAAGGCTACCCACTCCACTATTCTGGCCTGTAGAATTCTGTGGACTGTGCAGATAACCTTAGGAAGAAGTGTATTTTAAATTTTGTTATCACTTAAATACATGCTTGACAATATATGCCTTTAAATGCTTATGTATATGTGATATGGGAAGAAGTGATCAGAAGACAATTTTAGTGGATTTCAGTTTTAAGGATTTTGGAGAAGATAACTCAAAAAGCTAGAAGTGTGATGATAGTCTTATTCAGTTTTAAGGATTTTGGAGAAGATAACTCAAAAAGCTAGAAGTGTGATGATAGTCTTATTCAGTTTTAAGGATTTTGGAGAAGATAACTCAAAAAGCTAGAAGTGTGATGATAGTCTTATTTTCTCTTTTAGATATTAAGCACCGTCGAATACCAATCTTATTCTTTGCAAACAAAATGGATCTTAGAAATGCAGTGACATCTGTAAAAGTATCTCAGTTGCTGTGTTTAGAGAACATCAAAGATAAACCATGGCATATTTGGTAAAGTCTTTTATTTACATTTCATTTTATCATTCTGAAAAAATCTCCAGCTTCAGGGTTTTTTTTACAAGCTCACTATATAAGTGACTTAACATGGTAGGATGAAAGATAAAGATTATGTTTTATAAAACTGTAGCATTGCAGGTATTCAGTAATATATTATTGTTAAAACCTTTCAAATCTTTTTAGGGATAGAAAAACAAAAACAACTCTTTAAAAGAATTAACTTAACCAATCTGCTTACTTACCCAGCTTCAACCACACTAATTTCTTTCTTCACACTGAATCAACCAACCACAGTTCCATCTCAAAGCATTTGCACTTGTTACTCCCTTTTTCTGAATCATTCTTTAAAATAATTTTCCTGCTTACTATTGCACTTTTTTAAGAAAGAGACCTCTCGATAATTCTCTGAAAGCTTACCCCCATATCTTGTGGGGTTTTTTTTCCTTACTTTGCTTTATTCGTCTATTGCTATATGACCTCTTCTTTTTTTGTTTTCTCTTGTATAGTCTGTCTTCCTATACTAGTCCGTTAGTACTATGAGACCTGGGATTTCATTGATTTTTTTCACGCTGACACCCCCAGAGTAGTAACAGTGCCTGTTTAGTAGGTACCTCCTCATAGGTACTTAGGAGATACCCAATAAATACTTGTTTATATGAATAAACAGAAATATAAAAATCTGTCTTATTCGGACATACTTAAAATTGAACTCTTAAATAATTAGAGTCTGATATTATTATACATTTTTATTGGGAAAGCAGTTTCTTACTAATATATTTAATTCCAGTGTGTTTTTCTGCCAAAATATTCTGATAAGGATAACCAGAAGTTATGTATTAGTATTTTAATGCCTACTGCTACCTTATTTTACATTAAGTTTCCCTCTGTTCACCCCCACCTCTCCGTGGAAGATATCCTTCTCCTCTATAGAGAAAGGCTGAACACAGAGGCAAAAAAATCTAGGAAAGAAGGAAGTGGTAGAACTCTTAGGAAAACTTTAAGAGCTAACCATGGTGCTGAAAGAGTAACACTACAGCACTTGAGAAATCCCTTGAAATTTTTCAGTACCTAAGGCCACATATCGTGAGTACAGCCCTCCTTACTTTGGAAATCAGAGGAAAAATCAGTGTTTACTAAATTATTCTTGAGTTGGAATTTAAGGTTCTGTGGTATTTTGTTGGTAAAGAAAGGCATTTGGTGTAGAGAACTATCTTAAGATAGAACCTTTCTACTTTTGTAAATCATACTTAAAATTATAATATCTAAAGTAGAAGAATTTAATTTTTGCCCTAAGTGTGCTGACTACATTAATGGAAAGTACAACATTCAAAATACGGGTCAATTCTAATTAGTAATAGATGTAGTTTTTCTCTTAATTTTGAAGTAGAAATTAATTTTGCAAATGGAAGATGTCTTTCTCCTTAACAATTAGCCATTGAATTCTGTTAGGTTTATTTATTTAATTGTGACACCTTAACTTTTTTAGTAAGAGAAAAAATAATATCTGATGCTATAAGGATATGGACTTAGAGCATATTGCCAATTTCTTTACTTTCTGTACAACTTGTAGAAGAATGCTAAGTTTTTCTTGTAAGTTTGTCTACAGTTTTTACTTCCTAATTCAAACTGGACATCTCACTAAGTTCCAGTTAGTTGTTTCACTTGTTAAGGTTTTTATTTGAACTAAAAATAAATTTCTCCTTTAACTTTGGAGAAAAAAGTAATGCTGAGTGGTGCAGAGATAAAATATTGCATCTCTCTTGCCTTAGGTACAAATAAATTTGGGTAGTAAAGGAGAGATTATAGAGAAGTATAGTTTGGAAATTTTTATTGGTTTATTTTTGATCATTTTACTAAACATATAGTCAACTCTGATTTTCAAGTCTGATTCTGTTTTAATTCTTCCCATGTGTCCTTTGACTAAGTCCCTGGAGTAATATATGTTTGCATTTGCATTTTTACTATCTTGAGAGGGAGACAGATAATAAAAACATCAGTTGGGAGGGTGAAAAAAAAAAGTAGAATAGTAAGAGAAAGAATAATGAGTGTGGTCTCCCTCTGAGACATAATTGAAGTCAAGAAGCAATTCACACAAAGGTTTGGAGGAATTTTTCCAGATAGAGAGGCCAGCAAGTGAAAAGGCTCTTGGATGAGAATGTGCCTGATGTTTGCTGGAAACAGCAAGAAGTCCTTGCTGGCTGGAACAGAGAGGTAGGGGGAAATTGTAGGTGAGGCCCCTGAGAAATAACCAGGGGCTATGTCACATCGTTCCTTGCAGAAAATGGTGAAGACTCTGGCTTTTATTCCAGTTATGAGTCTTATGATTTATTTGAAAGGAAAGGTAGAATTTAAACATTTGGGAATTATTAGGAAAAATGCAGGATTTTTAGAAATGTAGTGATACCTCCACCAAAGGAGGAGGGTTTCTTCGTAGCACTGTACTCTTATGTGCAACTAGAAGTTGGTGGTAAAAGTCAATACATTGGTCATTCTTGATATTAGTATTTCAGTTACTGATGTTTTGCCATTAATAAAGGTAATCCATAGTTTGCTTTGAATAATTGCATATCTCATGCTATTTGTTTCTGTCTTCCTATTTTAAAATAATTCTATGATAAGTCATGTTCTTGGTCCAATAAATAATTCCTTGAAAGTAATTTCTCTTTTGATTAGAATCAAATTAACTGTTTTAAGATAATTTAGTACATTTTAAAATCATACTTCAGCACACTAAAACAATCTTAATCATACAGAAAATATAATTATGTATACTAATTGTTATTAGATAATTATATCAGTAACATGTTATGAGAAACTGTCGATCTGAATCTTAAAAAAAGATTATTTCATAGTCAAAAAATCCTCTACATTTTATTGTTTTAGTTTATATAATTTTTATTATTTATAAAATAATATTACAGTAAGGATTTAGGCTTACTTTTAAGAATGAAACATCAGTGAAAAGACCCTGTATTCAATGTTTTATATGCATATCTCAAATATTTAATTCTTATAATAAGCACATGAGCCAGTGGTAATATTCTCGCATTTTACAGAAGCAAAAACTGAAAGCCAAAGAGTTAAACAACCTATCAAGGTTTGTAAAACCAGTAAATATAAAAGTATGTTTGAAGTCTACTGGGATTTTTTAACTTTACCACTTTACCAGAGTTACAGTTACAGATTTATTCCTTTTAGATATCAATTTTAATTTCATATAAAGTCACTCCATCCTGTGACTCAATTACAACCCAAGTAAAGCATTTCTAATAAATAAATGCTATTGAATCATTGGGGCTGGTAGGAGAAAGTAGGATGGTGTGCTCTATAATCCCACTTCTGAGAGAATAACTCAAAGTATATGTTTTGTTAATGCCAGTCCAAGTAATATTCCTAGAATAGTAACATTTTAATGATATATTTTTACAAATGTCCATATAAATTAATGAATAGTTTTCTCATGTCTTGATCCTAAACACTCAGACTTTTATATCCTATGTATATTCAGTTTCAGTACTTAAGCAGTTTTGCTCAGATGTGTTATTAAATATATTAATTTTCCATATGACAAAATTGTAATTATTTATTCATATGGTTTTTTGATGTAATGAAATGGATATTTTTTATTTTTATTTTTATTTCAGTGCTAGTGATGCCATAAAAGGAGAAGGATTGCAAGAAGGTGTAGACTGGCTTCAAGGTACATCATAAAAAACTGCCTCTTCAGCCTTTATTTTCTTTCCAGTCACATTTTCTGTCCTTTTTTATATTTTGTTTTTATTATATCACTGCCTTTTTCCCTCTTGTTTCCATCTATTTCTGCTATCAGAAAATACAATACAGTAAGTATCCAATACCTTGCTCCATTTACTTCAATTACATTTTTATAAAGGATTTATTTAAATAAAAAGTACTTACATCAATATACATGACAACTCTAGAATATAATTTTAATTTATAGCCATAAGTTTCTGTCAGATCTAGTAATAGAAGCACATTTGAATTTTGGGATAAATTTTAGACCTACTGTCAATAAAAATCTTTGTGGCGTGTGTCTTTCAAGAGTCATGCTGGTACTCCACATATAGCTCCATTTATACATGGCATGTTTCTACAAATTTCAGTACTCATATTTAGTACTGTATATGCTGGTATTCTATTAGTGTTTCTGTATATCACATTTCTATATGTTATTCATCAAAATAGCTATCATAGTTGGTACAGGCTTACTATACCAGGGATTAAATTAAGATCTATCATTTTCCCTAAGGTTACATTGTCTACAAGACACAGGAATGGCTTTGAAGCACAGTGACCCACACAGAGAAATAAAACGTGAATGTACATGAAACCAAGTTCTATAAGTCCTTCTTATTATAGGACCCTGAAGGTCAGGCAAAAAAATGTCCATTTTTCATCAGGACAGTGGTTGATTTCTTTTAGGAACCTCCCTACCCTGAATAAGGGTGAATAATGAGATTAACTTGTTAATCCATGAGCTATGGTCTTGTGGCTATAAATTTAATTTCTCTACACATCCTTTTTATTTCAGCTATATGTGATTTTTTTCTTTTTTCTCTACTGTATGTCATGGTGGATCTAAGGGTAGCCTGCTTATTACCATACATAAAGAGACATAATACTTCTTTGGTCCAAAGTACTAAATGTATATCTAATAGATATTTGTGTTATTAGTAAAATGTGGTGTTCTAGTTAACTGCACAGACTGTTGTATTTTTGTTTCCCTCTTTTGTGTTTATATAGTCATCATGCCATTTACCATTACACTGCAAAGAACCTTCTAGTTACATGTTACAATTAAGTGAAACTTAGCTGAGAACCTCTAAAAGTTCTAAGAATCACTAGTGGGGTTTTTCTTTGAACACAACAATTTAATTTCTCAGACTGTGTAAAGAAGTGGTCAAAGTGACCCCTTTATGGGACTGATTCCACATAAAGCAAATTACAAAGGAACATTCTAGAGAAGACACTAGAAACATATTTTCAACATTTATTTCTTATTTTAAGTACTTATTATTGCTCACAGCAGAGATATAGTGTGAATGGAAACCCACAATTGTTCATAATAAAAAATACAAAGCACGGTACTTAACTGAAAATAAGTGATGGTCATCTGGATTTTAAATTGTACTTTTTATTTTGTCTGTAACAATAAAGCCACTAGGTGTCAGCAGTGATCCAGCATCACAATGCCACTTGCCAACTCTAATCTAATTTTTGTCATTGACTTTTCTGATCCATTATCTTTGTAATTAACTCCCAAATCTTTATAAGAAGGATACATTATTGGAAAAAAAAATTTGTGCCCTTGTGTTGCCATATTATTTTATGTAAACTTTACAATTCTCTGCAAGGTAAGTAGTAGTATCCCCATTTTATGTGGGCAACATGATGTAGAAGTAAAAAACACTTGGACTTCTGAGTCTGTCAGATATATTCCACTACTTGTTAATTATTAACTAATGTCTTTATATTATCCAGATAATTTTCCTCATCTGTAAAATTAAAAAATAAAATATCCAGAATTGCTACACAGATTAAATGAAATGCTCTATGTATTAAAGTGCCTAGCTTAAGAAAGCACTCAAAAAATGTTCAGTTTATCCTTTTACCCAACTTCTCTGTTTAACAGAAGAGGAAACTTAGTATGCAGATTTAAAACTATATCAGTTTGGTTTTGAGTAGGAGATCCTTTGTTCATAATTTCTATGTTATAGTAAATAGTTTATATTTTTGATGCTCCTGTCTTTGGATTTGAAAACAGGTAAAAACCTACTTTGCAAAATAAGTAGCAGTAAATTTAGGAGACTAGTCTGTGCTTCTGCTTGTATCAAGTTTTTCTGTAAATCTTTGAAAGATGTTCTGAACTTATGTCTCTTCATTTTCCTTGCAAAATTCTGAAGTTTCCTAGCATCATAAACAAGAAGGCTCTGGTTCATTTTGGACCAATTTAATTTTATTATTTTAAATTTAAGTTTGAAAAACAGGATAAAGTATTAAATGACACATTTTGTGCCATGATTCTATTCTCTTTTGGAGGGATTGTCAATTACGGCCCTAAGAGAAGAATCTATAAGTAGACTATTAAATATTTTTTAAAACCACCAGAGAATATATAGAACTATCGCAGAAGTATAAGTTGTTTTCTAGCTCTGAAACTTAAATATTTATGAAAAAACAAAACATTGTTCCACATGACTCATGAACTTATTCACTGAGTCACTTTATCTTATGGGAAAAGTTTATAATGCTTCCAGTTTTTATATAAGAATTTTATAAACTATGTATAGGGACATTCCATTGAAAAACAAAGGATTGGACACACACTTAGTTTCATCCCCTCTTCAAATCTCACTAAGAGTGAAGAGACTGAGGACAAAAAGAATGGGAGTGATAAATATGGTAACCAAATTTTGAAGCCAAATATGTGATGAATGTTGAATAACTTAACATACTTGAGAAAGTGGAATTCTAAGCTAGCACTGGAGAAAGCTGGAAACCATCCTAATTTACACTGCAGATCTCTTCAAAGGCTCAGGAATTGATGGAAATAAGAAATAAGGACGAGGTGAGACTGAAAGGAGATGCACAGGTATATATCCGTGCCCCAGAAGAAGATTGAAGGTTCATCCTTTGCAGAGAGTCACACAGTATCTCTGGAGTGGAGAACGCTGAGCGCAACTGTGTGTTGAAATGATAAACTGAAAATGAGGAGTAAATGAGAATTTGATGTTGAAGATTATAACCATGTCTGCTTTCTCCTGTTTCTCCTAGAAGACACTGGCAATAGGTAGAAGAAAGCCAGCTTTGAGGAGTCAGACCAGCTAAGAGAAAAGATCTAAAGGTGTTAACATTAGAAATTCTCAAGGAAATGGCCTAGCTATACACTAGGATGAAGATTACTTTTGACAAGCCTCACACATGTAACAAAATTCCAGTCAACTTCATAGTGTTCACTTATACACAAGAGAAGATAGCAAAGGATTGCCAAGTATTTGAAGACAAAACTTTAGGAATTATGGAGCAAAAGAAAAAGTTTAGAAAAAGACTTTAGGGAGAACATTTCAAAACACTATTCGAGTATCCTCAAAGAGATAAAAGAGTGTATTATTTTCATGAATATGACAAGAATACTAATTGAAAAAGAAAAAAAAATGAGTTCTTGGAAAATAATAATACAGTAGTAGAAATGGTTGGATGGCATCACCAACTCGATGGACATGAGTCTGAGCAAGCTCCAGGAGATGGTGAAGGACAGAGAAACCTGGCATGCTGCAATCCATGGGGTCACATAAAGTCAAACACAACTGAGTGACTGAGCAACAAGTAGAAATGGAAAACTCAATCAAAAGAAGGTAAAATAGAGACATTCTCTAAGAAAGTACGAAAAAGACAATGGGGGGAGAAAAGATAAAGGAGTCATTTATGAGGCCCAAAATCCTAGTAAGAATTTCTGAAAGAGAACAAGGAAAATAGAGGAAAGTCATCAAATCATAAAACATTATTTACCAGAACTGAATGATTTAGAGCCCAAGGCAGTGGATGATAATATTCCCACACCAAGGTGCATCATTAAAATCAACACTGAAGATGGTGGAAAATTCACCATATTTCCCAAGAAGAAAATAAGAGATTTCACCCAAAGATTTCCTTAGATAAGGAAACAAAGTAGCATCAGACCTCACCAGCAACACCTGGAAACACTTCCAGTGCCTGGAAAAGTCTAAGGAGAAAATAATATTCTCAGGCAGTATCAGTGTATTGTAACTGTAGAGAATTAAGACATCTTCAGCCATGTAAAGTCTCAAGAGTTCACTTTCTATACAGTTTATTAATACTAAAGTAACCACAGAGGTATACTTGTCAAAAACAAAGGAATAAAGCAAGAAGAAAACAAAAAGTTACCATGAAATAGGGAAATCTGCACAAGAAAGTTGGGACGGAACCCCTAGGATGATAATACAGATCCTAGAATAATAATGAAAGATCTCATATGAAAATACCTCGACAAGCATGGAGAACAGCTAGGTCAGATTAAAGAGTCTGCACAAGACTGTAAGGGAGAGTTATTCAAGAAAGTGAAGATGATCGACCAGTTTTATGCCTCATACTAGTAAAGCCTGAAACGGTGTGAGAGTAGTGAATTGAATTATAATGTTAGTTACATTATAAAAAAAAGGCAGGGTTGGGAATGAAGAGCAAAATTCTTCACTGCAGGGAAAACAAAATACAGTAGAAGAAAGGAAAAGTAACAAGTTTATCCCTTGTCCCAGCTGTGAGTTGCATTCACATCAAACATTACTGTTTTAGGAAAATGGGAGTATTGGAAGCATCATGAGGGTGGCAGAATGGTATACAAATGTGTGAGAACTGAAGCCCTATGTTACATTGAATTCAAAAAGTAATGAATAGAGATACAGAGGTAATCACCTAAAAAGGAGTTGGAAGTAGTTGCCTGTGAAGGGAGAAAGAAGGGATGAGGCAAGGGACTGATTTTTTAATAGAAGCCTCGTAGAACTAGTTGACTCTAATCGCGTGCATATACAGTGACAAAAAGAAAAACTATAATATGAGTTGTGCTTTAAAAAAAAAGCAGTTGTATGCATGGGTTTCTACCTATTGTTATAGACTTGTCTTGGATTACTTTAGAAAGTAGATTCTGCCCTGTAGAGACTAATAACTTTTTGTTTGGCTTTTGTTATCAGATCAGATCCAGGCTGTGAAGACATGAAAAAATAGTATTTGGAAACCTCAACAGTTTTCAATTCAAGAAATATATATTAAGGCAAACTGAATATTTTACATTTTTTAAAGGTGTCTTTACATCTAAGAATACTTTATAATCTTCTACTTGCATTTATGGACTGTTAATGAGGTTTTTAAGAAGATAGGACTTCAGGTATGCTAATCTGCCCATTAATGATATCAAAACTAAATCTTCCCTCCAAAGAGCTTCCTCCCTAGATTTATCAACTTCTTGGTAAAGGTCTACATTCGATTGTAATTAGACTGTTTATAAAGTCAGAGTTATCTCAGTACCCCATCATGATTAATGATATCTTAAATGCATTTTATTTTTTAATTGTCATCCAAAAATATAGTTTATTATATGATTTTGTAGTATGATGTGCTTGTGAAAAAGAACTTTAAATATTTATAAGGGTTCTTGGGTAAATTAATATATATTAAAGCTTTACTATATGTCACCATCAACATAACATAAAATGTAATGTACCAACTAGTGTGCTTTGTATGCCGAAAAGAATAATGCTATGTTAATATGGCATTTGGTGTTTTACTGTCAAACATTCGCAAATTATCTGAGACCAAGTTAAACAGAATTCATTTATTCAGTGAATACATATGAAACATCTCTGTATCTGTACTAGTTTGGTATTGTCCTAGGCAATGGTGATATAAGGTGAATAAAACATGTTGCTTATCCTCAGAGAACTTAAAAGATAATGAGGGAAAATTTGAGACTCTTTTCTTACATAGTGTCTAATTTATTTCATTGGCTGAATGAAAAATATTGCATTTTAAGATTAGTTATTACAGTTGATTTTTTTCTTTCTTCCTTTAAATTGTGTCCAGTTTACTGTGGTACTTTGTTAAAATAGACTGTGACTCATCAACTATGATTTTCCTGTGCATGAACTGCTGCAAAAATGTTCTTTAGAATTTTAAACATACTTCTGCCATCTACTGTTTGCAAATTGTGTTGCTTCTCACAACTTAGAGACTACTTGAAATTGTAAACACTAAATAGAAGCATTCATTTTTAATCGAATCAGTCACTGGGGAACTGTGAATAGAGCAGTGGTGTAAATCCTGAAAAATATCCCAAGTAAAGGAAAACTGTAATATAGGGTACATAGCATCTTAAATATCCTTAGCTGTGAAAATGAAAGAAACAGAAGGCCAAAGGTAAGTGAGCAATAAAGGTGTATTACAGTGACTACAGTAGTGGCATGTTCCACAGAAATTTGAATATAATCATTTTAAAACTATAGTAAAAATTCTATAATCCAGTTTCTCTTAGTCCAGAAATCCCAGTGATTTGGAATTTGGCAAATTGAAAATTACCCAGACTATTCCAGTGATCCAGCATTTTAGCTAGCTTGCCAACTTCTCATAAATGGCTCTGATGAGGATACAAGATGAGTCTCATTAATCGAGTTGCTTCAAGTATAAAAAAGATATGAAGATGAAAACACTGTAATTCAACAAAAAAACTGATATGCTGTAACTATTTTAGGAGGATGGAGAAAGTGGTGGTGTAAGAGAATTCAAATCCTTACCTACCATAAGGTAACAATAATAATAGCTATCATTGTATTTTGAGCAAAATATTATTACACATATGGTATTGTGCATCATATAATCCTGACAATAACCTTAGGTATTAGATTCTAGTATTTGTTTTATAGACAAGGAAAGGACCTAAAAATGTTATTTGTTTAAGGTCACAGAGCTAGTAAATGGTGGTTCTGGGATTCAGAACACAACAATCTGTTTAAAATAGGTGATTCAAGAGCTAAGAGTAATACTGATTTTAGAAATATAGACATATCTGCCATAAGAATAGCTAAAAGGATAGAAAAGTCTTCACTGGGGTGGGAGACTAGGATGGGTATGGAGGAGGTCATAGACAAGGGACTACTGTTTTATTTATTTATTTTTGCTTTTTGTTTTAAGTCTGTTAACACTTCAAATTTTAAACTGGGCAGAAATGACTATGATAAGAATAATTCTTCAAACTATGTTAATACTGAGCTAATTAGTATTCCACAAACTACAGTAGTTCATGCCTATGCAAATACATAGAAGAAGGTACTGACTATTTCCTTTGTTCCCATAATCTCCAAATCTAGTTTATAAACATCCATTTGTACTCTGTTTTCATTTAAAGATTATGTAGAAACAAGTTGGGCTTTAGTGGTCACAGCATGCCATACAAGTGTATATACACTGAGGGTATTGCATTTGTATTTAACATATTATGCAGTTAAAATGTATTTAGGCTAAAGCAAGGTTTTTTTCATGTTTAGACATTATTGTGTTACAAAAATTAATTCATTATGCTCTGCATTTCAATATGACACCTCATAAAATGTTGAAAAGTTAACCTATTGTATATTTTGCATTTAAATGTTTATAATGTGGCCCTATTCAGCCTGTGCCTTATAAATCACAAAAGAGCTGAGTTGTGTATATTTTTCATTTGTAGGTTGTCTGCTAAAAATTATGAATTATCTTCTGATTATTTATTTTTTTCCTTTGGAATTTTCAGCCCACCATGTTGTGATTTCTATAAATATATGCAGTTACCCTTGAGAAAACTTAAGGCAAATACATGCTGCATGCAACTCTGGTACATTAAAATACTGTGCATTTTAACTGACTCGGTGCATATTTTCTGCCTTCTGATTATTCCTTCTTTGTTGTTGTTCAGTCGCTAAGTAGTACCTGACTCTCTTCGACCCCATGAACTGCAGCACGCCAGGCTTCCCTGTCCTTCACTGTCTCCTGGAATTTGCTCAGACTCACGTCCATTGAGTCAGAGATGCCATCTGTCTCATCCTCTGCTGCCCCCTTCTTTTCTTGCCCTCAGTCTCTCCTAGCATCAGGTTCTTTTCTACCGAGTCAGCTCCTCGAATCAGGTGGTCAAAGTATTGGAGCTTCTCATCTTCAGCATCAGTCCTTCCAATGAATATTCAGGGTTGATTTCCTTTAGGATTAACTGATTTGATCTTGCTGTCCAGAGGACTCTCAGGAGTCTTCTCCAGCCCCACAGTTCGAAAGCAGCGATTCTTCAGCGCTCAGCCTTCTTTGTGGTCCAGCTCTCACATCCACACGGGACTACAGGGAAACCCGTAGCTTTGACTAATGTGCGGAGCCGGCAGAGCTTGCCGGCTTCAGTGACTCTGAGTCCTGTGCTTCACTGCCCGTGCTCTCTGCCTTGGCAGGCATCGTCTCAACCACTGGACCACCAGGAAAGTCCTACTTCTTAAATAGTTATCAGAAAGGTGAACAATTAGGTGCAAGTGACTGAAAAGTAATGCTCTTCTTAAAATTTTTAAGTTAATGATTTGTTATTTAGTAGCAGGCAGATTCTTTACCACTGGACCACCAGAGAAGTCCTGAGAGTGATGCTCTTTGGAACCCCTCTGTGGCACCCCCCACCCCCACCAGTTATATTGATGTCCTGATCCTCTGAAGTCTTTTTTCCTTCTGATGCTGAAGCTGAAACTCCAATACTTTGGCCACCTCATGCGAAGAGTTGACTCATTGGAAAAGACCCTGATGCTGGGAGGGATTGGGAGCAGGAGGAGAAGGGGACGACAGAGGATGAGATGGTTGGATGGCATCGCCGACTCGATGGACATGAGTCTGAGTAAACTCCGGGAGTTGGTGATGGACTGGGAGGCCTGGCATGCTGCGATTCATGGGGTCGCAAAGAGTCGGATGCGACTGAGCGACTGATCTGAACTGATAGAAGTTTCTAGGGTTCTCTATGGAAAGTCTTAATATATTCTATTTAATTGAACCATATGGCATTGCCATTTTGTCAGCCCAAAGCAGCTGAATGACAGCTTAGCCTTAATGTAGGGTCACCTGGAAACTTTTAAGTGGCTCAATTCTCTACTAAGTGTCAAAGCAGACACAACCTAGCCTGGCCCAAAAAGGACCTATTGTTAAAAATATGGCCACAGTACTTCATAGTTCTATGCCTCAAACCAAGCCGGTAATCAGAGATGTCTTTTAAGATATATCATTTCAGACACATTTTATGAGCCATTTCAGATTCTCTCAGACTCACCATCTCATTTTAGCTGCCACTGCTTGTAGGCTCTGACCAACTATATGTAGGTCAGAGGGCCCTATTTTTGTTCCCATGTCCCCACCACTACCATTCTAAAACATATATAGCCCAGTAGGGGAACTATTGACAAGTGGGAGACAGAACTAGTGAATAAATTCTTCCCTTTTTATGTTTTTCCCATTAATCGTGGACTGTCTTGAGTCTCTCTATATATAGCTTCTGGGATGAGTCCTCTGACTCTAACAATTAGTCATATTTAACAGCATCCAGCTCAGTAATATCTCTTTGTATTGCCACTCTCCTAACCGGCTTAATCCTCCTTTCCCATAACTCTACTTCCTAATAAAATAATGTAAAATCTCTACTTCAGCAGTGCCTTCTGAGGAACCCAGGCTGTATCCAACGATGTTCTCAAATTTTCATCAGTCACCTATGGTAAAATACATGCTGAAGCTTGAGAAGTATTCCTCTAGGACTTTTCCTTTTTTACTCTTTTTATTTTATACTGGAAGAGAATTGATTAATAATGTTGTGTTAGTGTCAGGTGTAAAGCAAAGTGATGCAGTTGTACAAGTATCTATTCTTTTTCAAATTCTTTCCCCTTTAGGTTATTACAGAATATTGAGCAGAGTTCCCTATGTAATGGTAGGTCCCTGTTGCTTGTCTGTTTTAAATACAGCAGTGTATACATGTCAGTCCCACACTCACAATCTACCCCTCCCCTGCGGTAACCGTAAGTGTGTTCTTTAAGTCTGTGAGTCTGTTTCTGTTTTGTAAATAAGTTCATTTGTATCATTTTTTTAAGATTCTGCATATAACCAGTATCATATGATACTCACTTTTCTCTGACTTACTTCACTTAGTATGCCAATCTGCAGTTCCATCCATGTTGCTGCAAATGGCAT